AATTGACATTCATAACAAAAATGAAAAATTCTTGGTAATAAAAAGAGTAGATTGCAGACAAAGAATGTCCGTATTTCATGGTTTATCAATATTAAGAGTTTTCTAGTGAATACACCCATGATAACAATTGTGACATTTTTGCCTGTTTTGCATGTGATTTGCATATGATTTAAGGCATCTATTGTTGCTGGAAGTGATTCACAAGGCTAATATTGATCTGATTCCTGTGATCCTAAGTCAATAGTTGAATCTGAACTCTTACCAGATCTCTCCTTGTAATAATTACTGGCATATGCCTACTTCACTGCAGACTAACTCAGGTTGTCACATTTCATTGTTGGCGGCATTAAATTTTTAAAATCAATGTTATTTATTGCCAGAACCAGGCACCAGAAACCTGTGTGGTGGGCTTCTAAAAAAAGAGTGTTGGTTTTTTGTTTAGTTAATAACTTCCAGATATTATTGCACACAATGTGTAAAGTACAATTATAAGAAACAAAGGTACAGGTCACATCCATAAGAACTGTTATTTACATTATAAGTGAGTGTACTAGGGGATCAATCTCAAAACCTCTGGGTTTGCATTTACAGTGCTGTCACAGCCTTTGGATCATTCACCTGCTATTAGTACATCATAAATTATCAAAATCAAATGAGAAGCCAATGTTAAAGTTAAATTATTAAAGGATAATAAATCAGTGCTTGTTGTTTGTATATTAAAACAGTGCTGTCACAAGTTTACCATCATTGAATCACCTGCTCTTACAACATTTCATTAATTAGCAATGTTTCCTTAAGTTAAAGTTCCGAAATTAAAAGAAAAGACAATGTTGAATAATATTAATAAATTGTGATTTTGGTTTGTGTTCATTCTTGCACTGTCATAACTGTTGTGTTGTACCACTTTCATGTTGTTTTGTATCAAACATATTGATTTCTTGGTAATCTGAATAAAAAAAGTGTTAACGACCATTTTCCATTATACTCTAGTCATGTTAACAAGATCATCCATTAACTCCTGTGAACATGGTTTTATCTCTTCCATGCATTCCAGTTAATATTTTGTTAGAACATATTCCCTCTGATGCCATGGTTGCCAGTCCTCTATTTTTACAATCCCCTTTTGACAGCTCCTGATATAAAAACCTTGTTGTTTCAGTTAAATTAAAAAAAAAATGATGGCTTAATGAATTATTATAGAAGAGTGTTGCTTTTTTCCATAAATCACATGACAGTGGTCTTTTTTAAAAAATTCTGGTTTTTTTAGCTCGACTTTTCTATGAAAAGGGGAGCTATCCTACTCGCCCCGGCGTCGGCGTCGGCGTTAGCGTTAGCGTTAGCGTTGGCGTCACACCTTGGTTAAGTTTTTCGAACCACCCCACTTTATTTCAGAAGTATTACAAGTATGGCTTTGAAACTTACCATACTTGTTCACCATCATAACCTCCATCTACAGACAAGAGTACATAACTCTGTCAAGGTTTTTGACAGAATTATGGCCCTTTTTTGACTTAGAAAGTGTATTGAGCTTGGTTAAGTTTTTTGTACCACCTCACTTTATTTCAAAACCATTGGAGGTATTGCTTTGAAACTGACCATACTTGTTTACCATCACGACCTTCATCAACAGACAAGAGGACATAACTCTGTCAAGGTTTTTGACAGAATTATGCCCCTTTTTGACTTAGAAAATACATTGAATATGGGTAAAATCCACTTATTGCCTTAACCCTTTGAGATATTGCTTTGAAACTTTTAATGCTATTTCACATCATTACCCCCATCTGTACGCAAGAGAAGGTAACTCTGTCAAGGATTTGTTTTAAAAATTAAGGCCTTTTATCGACTTAGAATCTTGGTTAAGTTTTTAGTACCAGTCCACTTTTTGACTGAACTGTTTGAGATATTAATTTGAAAGTTGGAATACTTGTTTACCATCATGGTCCCAAAACATGGGCAGGAGAAGGTAATTCTGTTAAGGATTTTATTTGAATTATGGCCCTTTTTGACTTAGAAACTCAGTTAAGATTTTCATTCTTGTCCACTTGTTGACTTAACCATTTGAGATATTACTTTGGAAGTTGGAGTTCTTATGTGCCATCATGAGACCTATCTGTAAGCAAGAGAAGATAACTCTGTGAAAATGTTTCTTGATTTGTACTTAGAAATTCCTAGTTAAGTCTTGTGTGCCCTTAACTGTCAAAGTTTTGTTTTATAGGCAAGCACTAAAAAAGTCGAGCGCGCTGTCTTACGGACAGCTCTTGTTATGTCATGGAATAGTAAAAAAGTGCTTGTTTAGCTTTATGACAATGGTAGATCATCATTTAAAATGTAGCCAGGCAATATTTTGCACTATGTTTAATGATGTAATAACATATTTTGGCTCTTTGGAAAGCTGAGGGGGAGTTTATCTCACATTTCCTTGCTATGTTTGTATGCCATATTATGGCACTCTCAATAAGGAGATAAAATTACATTTTTTCATGAGTTCAAAACTGTTGCTGACAATGTAAAGGAACTATAAAGCTCTATACCAACAAACTTACAAAAAAAAGAGCTCAACTATAATCTCTGAGTGCTTGACCAGGAGGGAAAGGGCATAACTTTGTGAAAAGGTAACTCATAGTTATGGGACTTGGTCCATCATGTAAGATAATCACAAAGAACAAGGGTGTGACGGTTCAACCCATACCCTTTCTTAGTTTTGGAGATAACTTGCACATAAAAGTCCAAAGTCAGTACTATTAAGCTCTCCAAAGTTTTTGAGTAGTAAAGCTTCAAATATACCCCCCTGGAAAGGGAGCTAGAGTATTTCAACTTTTGCTGGCATGAAGTTAAATGCAATTAGAAAATCTCAATTGGATATTTAAAAACAAAACGACTACACATACTACTATGTAATAATTGCTGAGTCAGCATTAAATCATAATAGGAAAAAAAAGTTGGATATACCCTGGAGAATTGTTCACAGTGTCTGTAGACTTGTAGGAGAGTTATTGATTACCCTCAGGCTCGCAGTGTCAACATAACTTTTTACCACCCATTTTATTGAGGAAATCCTGCTTCAGTATGGTAGTTGATTAGCTACTGTGAAAACTTTATTGGTCATTGATGAATGATAAGTCAACAAGCAATTTAATTGTAACAACATCTTGAAACCCCGATGGTAATCAATTTGAAAACAAAAAAATAATTGATTATTTATGACATGGTAGGTTAATATGACTAAACTCTCAACTTCCTTTGTACAGTAACTCCAGTACTAAAACACAACCTCTATTCCATACAAGTCTATCACTCCACGCCCATCTTCATGAGTCTATGTAGATGCTCCCATCTACAGATATCCCTGTGGACCCATCCATTGAATCTGTCCTTTAAGACACACCCATCTTACCCTGAGTCTCTAGACATGCATCCCTCTAGACCAACTGACCCTGCAGTAAAGCTATCAGTCTATTTACTCTGACTGTTTATATCTCTAGACCATCAAGCTCCATTCAGTATAGTAACAGCTTCGTTCTTCCCATGTGAGTGCCTGTAAGAATATATGCATAAGTGGCGACATTACCCAAGTGGTTAAGATAACACATAAGACTAGAAATCTAAGGATCATTATCTGTGTGTGTGTGTTCAAACCCTGTATTCGACAGTGTTTCAATAAGCTTATAGCTGCCAACACAATCAAACTAAAATAAATTTGTATAAGATAACCCTGTCCATGGTGACAGTAAGAAACTTTACCCTCGTTGGTTCCAGGAACAGGTTCAAGTGTGTCTATAAGCTATAAGTTTCCTGGGCAATCAAACTAAAATAAATTCTGTATATGAAATACACGGAATTTTGACTGACATATGAAATGTTTATTTAGAATTCAGCAGACAATGCATCTTCATATGTCAAGGCAATGTAACTCCATGTAATGACCAAGTTTTCAAATGTCATAATACTTCCCCTTTTATAATATGTAACAGTTGATCAGTCATATAATATGATAACTTGTGGCATAATACTTGTTTAATTAGCTATCACTGTCACTGGTGTCAGGAAAGGTTAATTATTTAATAAATCTTCTGGAAACAAGATAAGCTGAAGATAGGAGAAATACATGTGATCAGAAAAGAGATAATTAAGTTTGTGATTGATTTTCTAGTCAATGGTCAGCTCTTTGTGTACTTGTTAAGTATGATTAAAATTAATTGAAATCACTTGTTTAAAAGTTCATTTAACAATGTTATGTTTTGCCAAGTTGGGTGAGAAATTTGTTGACAAAGTAAGGAAATACATGTAGGTGAATTTAAACGCAGTGCTATTTGCATCCATATTTTCACCTGTGTTTCATAACAATAATGTGCAGTCTAAGAGTACCTTTTCATTTTCTGAAGCTAATGTCTTCTTTAAAGATCACATTGACAATATATGTTGTTCAATCTCATTGAAACATTTTTGAAATATAATGTACTATTGTAATTATATCCTGGTGTTGAATGAATGAAGTGGGTAGATTTTGTTGAAATCAGACTCTCCTATATTATATGTCAAATACTGGCTGTAACATAGTAAACTGTGATCATTTACAAGTTTTAGCATTATAAGTCAGCAGGGAGCCACTCTGTTTAATTGTACAAAGTTATAATTTTGTAAGAAAGTATGTGATAAAAGGTAATTGATTACAATATCTAGGGTTTTATTACACAGCATTAAAATGTATGTCAGTTTACAAAAGCTGGATGACCTGTTGTCAGTTAAGTTAGGTGCCTTTGTGACTGTGTGGTTACAGTTGCTGATTTTGAAGCCCGCTTGTGGAGTGTCATAAATTCAATATTAGTGGTGCTTCTTCTACAGATTTCTGCCAGTATATGAAATATTTCATAGATATTTGTGAGAACTAAAAAAAATTAGTCTACCAGTACCTGCTTTGAAGTCACCTTTATTACCTTTATAGTCAGATTGACTTTTAAACCTAATATGGTATTAGATACTGTTTCTTTGTATTTCAGATAAAGTTGGTCAACATTAGCAGTAATGATTTAGTTGATGGCAACCAGAAACTAACACTTGGACTTGTATGGTCAATCATTCTACATTGGCAGGTAATTTGGTTTTAAACTATTACAATTTTCCTATATCAAGAGAGAAGTTACTTCCCTTTGTATTTTATTGCCATTTGTAATAATGATTAATTATGTGGCAAAATGATAAATATAGTAATAGTTATGATAATGATAATACCTATGATTATTTAATATACTGTTTATTTGTTAATTTTGATATATAACTACCTAGGATAAGAAGATTCTCTATTTTATAAAAGGGAAGAGATGTGAAATATAAAGGGGGAGATAACTGAAATATTAAAGGGAGAGAAGTGAAATATGAAAGGGGAGAGAAGTGAAATATGAAATGGGAGAGAAGTGAAATATAAAAGGGGAGATAAGTGAGATATGAAAGGCGAGATAGTGAAATATAAAAGGGGAGATAAGTGAAATATCAAAGGGTATGAAAGGGATGAGATGAGTGAAATATAAAAAGGGAGATAATTGGAATTGATCAAGGTTATATCATGCAAAGTCTTATGATAAAAGGAAAAGAAAAAACTTTTTACTATTGCTGCACATATACAAGTAGATGTATAGGTGCAAGGATGACTCTGCAGAAAAGTATTGAATACAGCTTCAATAAAGATCCAAATGAAAACATTTAAATATTTATATAATATAACTGTAACATATTGTATTATATCGATACCTAGACAGGATTTTGAATAGTTAATGAAAAATAAATCATGAATATTAATTATAACAAGTTTGTTAGAAGTGATTTTGACCTTTCAGTTACTCTGATTCAAAGTTTGAAGTTAGGGGCGCATCTTATAATCTGTCCCAAATGATATAAAAGAAGTGTAAGTTAATCAATATGGGCCCTGATATCATATGCAAGATGCATAATATTATAGATTAACGCAAACAAAATTTATGGATTCTGTCCAAATTAATGCATTCAATCCAAGAATGATGCATGGAGTCTGTATGGCTTTTATTCAAAATTGGCACTTGAATGATGGGCGGTTTTAAGACAGATTGGTTTTGTAAGGAATAGGAGAGGGTTAAAGAAAGGAACATGCATAAGGCATGACAAAAAGATGGAAAAAATTGTATAATATCAGATGAGAACACCAAATTATAACTTAATTTCTTATAACAGGATAAAGTTTTTGTCCCCCAAGGACAATCAAGCCTTTTATTTAGGTTATTTTTTTATCAGCACAGAGCAAAACACTCAGTATTTGTCCCCATTGAGAGGCTTTATGAGATGCAATGATATGGGTGAAAAAGTGATCATTTGCCCTTGTCTTTGTCAAGTCACAAGTATAATCAGCTAAGAAATAAGTTTTATTTAAAGAAACAAAATAGAATAGCACTTACACTGACCTTGAAGTAGAAAATCTACAGTTTTAGATTGCACATTGCACAAAAAAAAACAACTAATTTTTGAAATATATCATCAAAATTAATACATAAATATGTGGCCAAGTAGTTAACATGTCCCACTAATAATCTTAGAATTGCTGGCCCTGTGGGTTCAAACCCTGCAAGGGGCAAGCTCAACGGTTGTGTCCTTGACCAAGAAAACTTTACACACATTGCTCAGTACTTAGTGGTGGTTCCAGAGTGTTGCCTTCCAACGCAATCAAACTGACAAAGTAAAAATAATTTCTGTATAAATTAAGGCAGTAATTGTCAAGACATTTAAAATACAGGTTGCATATATAATTTCATGCCATTCTCATTCCATAAAAAAATTGTCTCACTTTAAACCCCATAAACTTCAAATCATAGGAAGTGTTACAGTAGTGTATTAAAATACTTTTTATCTAGTTTACTGTATCAATTTAAGTAATTTAGATACTGGAGTTGTTTGACTGCTGAAAACAGATGTATAATTTACAGGGAAAAACAGCTTAACTGTATAATTTACAGGGAATAGCAGATTTAACTGTAATTTGCTAGTATTTTAAAGCAGATAATTTGTGCTGGTTTAGAAAATTAAAGAAAATTGTTAGGCCAGTTGTTAAAAAAGTTTTTGCAGTGTTGCTATGCAATCTGCATAAAAGCAGTTACTAAGTTAGTAGGTGGATATTTGAGTCCATACTCTCAGTGCCTGAATGGGCAGATGGACCCTTAAATATTAAGCTTAGAACACACACATCAGTGGTATTAAATTTGTTGAACATTTAAATAAGAATAAAAAGAATTTTGTTTGGTCATTGAAAATTTTAAAAACATTTTTTTACATTGCTGGCCTCAGTGGCATAACAAGCTTTTGTAACAGTGGGTGGAGTAAGGGTGTAAAAAAATGTGTGATAACCTCAAAGTTTGGGATGAAATAGTTCTGGACTTGTTCGATGTTATAAAAAAGCAACATTGGATTACTGGAATTTATAGATGATTTAACATGTTGATGGTTTTATATCCTCTATCATAATTTGTTCAGGAAGAAACTTGATTTAATAGCAGGAGCAAATGTTGTAATTTGGTTAATTTTACTGGTAATTTAGGCAGTTTATTTATGGTAGACGTAAAACTTTAGAAATAGCATGATATTTGTAGTACAGCCAGGAGAAGATAGGTAGTTACAAGTTCAGATTCTGTTTTGTTTTAAACTTATCATGATATAAATATCTGATCTGAAACAACACCCACCTTCCTATTTCTGGTTTCAAGGTCACATTATACATGACAATTATGTGCTATATGAGAAGAATTGATAAAAACTATCTTAATTACATAGAATCATGATATTTTAAGAGTATTGTTGTTTTTTTGTTATTTATCACTCAATACTTTAACTGAACAAGTCCCCCCTGAGTGACCTTGAGATATTTTTTTTGTTCTGATCTTATCTGCATCAATTAACAGTCTAGTCACGTGTGTGGATTAATTGCAGTACAATATCATTTCATAAAATGAATATTGTCCCTCTGTCCTTAATCCCCCTTGTGGCTGAGGGGTTGCCTTTAAAGGTTGAGGCTTCATAAATTGCAGCAGAAATCAACTTTTGGTTAGCAACACAGGATAAAAATTTAGAACACATCAATTCCATTATATAAGTTCTAGGGTTGTTAAGGAAACTGGTTGCATTTGAAGTACATGTACATTAATTGTATGTGGTGTGATTTATTAGAAAAAAATAACCTGTTGCCAAAATTAAGCCTTGGTGAATTGCAGCATCCTTTGTGCAGACAGATCTCTGTTCTCAAACAATTCATGATTTGTAGTTGCTACTTAGCTTATATTAGCATAAATCATAATTATTTTCCATAAAAATTATTTAAAAAAAACTACAACATTAAAATGAGCAATATTTTTATATGTTTTTCAGGTGAAGGATGTTATGAAAGATTTGATGGATGACCTAAGACAGACAAACTTGGAGAGGACACTACTGGTGTGGTGTAGACAGTCCACCACTGGGTAATTCTTCTTTATTATGACATTATGTACAGGCCATGTCCACATCACGTTGGAAGTCTTACTGTTTTACCAGACTTGTATTAATTATATACTGGTTTGTTTATGTAATGTCATATTGTGTTGAAGACCTCCCAGTAAGGTAGACTGTGGAATGATGATAGAATTTCATTTTGCTGTCTGATGTCTGTTTGAAATTGTCTTTTCTTCTAAAATAGACTGTCATTATGGTGTCTACTGTCTGTTTTTAATTGGTTTTTGTCAAAACCTTTAAAACTAGCGAAATTGAAGGCTTGGCTTTAATTGTCTTAAATAATATGACTGTACTTATTGAAACAAATTTATTTTAGCTTGATAATAATGAATAAGCTATTTCTAAACCATTTTCATGTACTTTTCCTGGAATTAACCAGCACTGGTGTCACAAGGAAACATGGTAATGACCTGGGTTGGGGTTAAACCCATGATCCCTCGGTTGAGAGGCAGACACCTTAACCACTTAACCACTACTTCTATCAGACAGATAAATATTATGTACTTTTAATATAAAGAATATATTGTCCTATGCTATTATAGAAAGTTTAGAAAGAATTTGTAGAGATTATCTACATTATAGAATATATACAATATTAGGATAGGACATCAGAAATTCTTGAATCTTGACTAACATGATAAGTTGAGTTGCCAGGGCAATGAATCTTGAAATATTTGATAACGAAAGAGAGTGTTTTAACTCCAAAAAACTTGGAAAATAAGTTTTGACAGTGTTGAAATGGACCCTTGAATATAATACGTTATCTTAGGTAGAATGATAGATAAACCATGTGATCATTAAATCAGAAAGAAAAATCTAGAGAAGTACCACTTAGATATTCCACTTCAGTCCCTCCATGATGATCATCTGTTAATTTATTAAGATTTAGCCTAAATGATAAATCTTAGAGAGTTCCTTGCTTTATTGTCCAGTAAAACATGCCAAATGGATTCTCATAAGTAGCATAAAACTACAGGAAGTTACCTGACTGTAATGCATTTTTCCCTTGCAGTATGTTGATATATAGGTAACATAATGTCTTGTATAATTACCAGATAACCAGGTGTGTTACCCACCTGCCAATGTTTATATTAATTACAGCATTTAGGTCACATGCCTGGCAGGTTTACTTACTATCTTAAATGACAAAAATCACACATTGAAGCCTTTTCTGTTTAATAGTGCACCAATTTTTAAACTTTCAGTTAATCAAAATTTTTTAATGAGAGTAGTAAACAATTTAATTCGAAATTAAATTTTTAATTGAAATTTACTTATTTAGTTAGGAAGGTATGATGTTTGTAATGTGTCTCCAACATTTCCAACATGTCACTCTTTACACTCTGCCAAGTTCACATGTTGACTTTCCACATTTACTCATGGAGGAACACATCAGGTGTCACTTTATGCATTATTTCAGGAACAAGTGTGCTCTTGAGTAAAACCACCAACCTTCTTCAAAAAGAATCCAAAGTCCTTAGTGACATTGGAACCCACAGTAATCAGTGTGTGACAAGAAATTTCATGTCATCAAATCTTAGGGCCTTGTGGCTTAGTCATTGAAGCCTAATTTTACAGTGAAGTGATACGACCCTATATAACATACACCACTTTTGATGCATATATTTCATTTGTTTGTGTTTACACTTGTTTTGATTTATTGTAATACAGGTAGCTATTATCCCGTTGTTTAATATGAAATATGTGATTTATTTGATTAACTTGTATTATATACATGAACTATATTCAATATTTCAGGTATGCCTTGGTTGATGTGAAGAATTTCACCACCAGCTGGAAAACTGGCCTTGCATTTAATGCTTTAATCCATCATTACAAGTATGTATTGTCTTAATTAAGTATCCTCCAGAAACATTTTCTGTATTAACTTGACTTTCATGACAAGTATTCAAAGACATTATTGATAAAGACATATGAGCCGCGTCACGACAAAACCAACATAGTGAGTTTGCGACCAGCATGAATCCAGACCAGCCTGCGAATCCGCGCAGTCTGATCAGGATCCATGCTGTTCGCTTACCAACTCTATTACAAGTAGAGAAACTGATAGCAAACAGCATGGATCCTGATCAGACTGCGCGGATGCGCAGGCTGGTCTGGATCCATGCTGGTCGCAAACCCATTATGTTGGTTTTGTCACGACGCGGCTCATATATTAAGGAGTTTGTTTGTTGTTCATCTGGTGTTTACATTGATTTTAAAACATTTTTGGTTATATCTCGGCAGTTTGTCCACCTAAATGGTTTTCCTGGTTAGGTAACCAGTCAAGTTTGGATCAAAATGTAGTTAAATATCTAAGTTTGGATCAAAATGTAGTTCAATATCTAAGTTTGGATCAAAATGTAGTTAAATAATTATCTAAGTTTGGATCAAAATGTAGTTCAATATCTAAGTTTGGATCAAAATGTAGTTTAATATTAAAGGTTATCTGTGGACATGATTTAGAGAAATTCAGAGATATTGATGCTTTACCCTTCAACCAAATATGATGTATAATGTAATGTATTCAATATTAATTAATGTATGAATATGCAAATTACAAAGGTTAGTATATATAGTTAGTATATATGTATATACCATAGGTAATTAAATTTTACCATATTTTCAGGCCAGACTTGTTCAACTATGATGATTTATTAACTAAGACACCTGAGGAGTGTCTGGACCATGCATTTACTGTTGCTCATGAACACCTAGGTGTTGACAGACTTCTTGATCCGGAAGGTAACAATAGATATATATGAGCCGCATCACGACAAAACCAGTGTAATGCATTGGCGACCAGCATGGATCCAGACCAGCCTGCGCATCTGCGCAGTCTGATTAGGATCCATGCTGTTCGCTTATCAACCCTATTATAAGTAGAGAAACTGATAGCGAACAGCATGGATCCTGATCAGACTGCGCGGATGCGCAGGCTGGTCTGGATCCATGCTGGTCGCAAACGCATTATGTTGGTTTTGTTGTGACGCGGCTCATATACTTATCTTAACCTGTAGTGATCAGTTTAGTAACATTTGGCGGCATTCATAATTGAAATGTTTTGTTTTACAATTTATTTGTGTAGGAATAATAGAATAGACACACACTCAAATCTTTTCCTGGGATGAACAAGTACTAAGGCAATAATTATTTAAAGTTTCTTGCACTAGGAAACAACTCCTTGCCCCTAAAAGGGTATGAAATGTCCTTAGATTACTAGTAAGACACATTTATAGTTGGCAACAGATATTTTTGAAAAAATAGATTTTTGGAATGAGATATAACATACAATTCTTTCTAATTATCAGTAATACTAAAAAAAGTAAAGTGGTCGATAACAGTGCTAAGGATTTCTGATATGGTCTGAGTTTCTGTTTTAAAACCGTACATATATATTTGATTTTGATTAATGCCATTGGTCTCTTTCAACCATGATATACAATAGTACAATACATAAAGTATTTTCTTTCATCCTAATGATATTGACTTTAAAGGCCCATCATTATGCCATAGAAATGCTATCAATTGCATTTCTCAAAAACTGTTAATTTTTAGCTCGACTTTTCTATGAAAAGGGGAGCTATCCTACTCGCCCCGGCGTCGGCGTCGGCGTCGGCGTTAGCGTTGGCGTCACACCTTGGTTAAGTTTTTCGTACCACCCCACTTTATTTCAGAAGTATTACAAGTATGGCTTTGAAACTTACCATACTTGTTCACCATCATAACCTCCATCTACAGACAAGAGTACATAACTCTGTCAAGGTTTTTGACAGAATTATGGCCCTTTTTTGACTTAGAAAGTGTATTGAGCTTGGTTAAGTTTTTTGTTACCACCTCACTTTATTTTCAAAACCATTGGAGGTATTGCTTTGAAACTGACCATACTTGTTTACCATCACGACCTTCATCAACAGACAAGAGGACATAACTCTGTCAAGGTTTTTGACAGAATTATGCCCCTTTTTGACTTAGAAAATACATTGAATATGGGTAAAATCCACTTATTGCCTTAACCCTTTGAGATATTGCTTTGAAACTTTTAATGCTATTTCACATCATTACCCCCATCTGTACGCAAGAGAAGGTAACTCTGTCAAGGATTTGTTTTAAAAATTAAGGCCTTTTATCGACTTAGAATCTTGGTTAAGTTTTTAGTACCAGTCCACTTTTTGACTGAACTGTTTGAGATATTAATTTGAAAGTTGGAATACTTGTTTACCATCATGGTCCCAAAACATGGGCAGGAGAAGGTAATTCTGTTAAGGATTTTATTTGAATTATGGCCCTTTTTGACTTAGAAACTCAGTTAAGATTTTCATTCTTGTCCACTTGTTGACTTAACCATTTGAGATATTACTTTGGAAGTTGGAGTTCTTATGTGCCATCATGAGACCTATCTGTAAGCAAGAGAAGATAACTCTGTGAAAATGTTTCTTGATTTGTACTTAGAAATTCCTAGTTAAAGTCTTGTGTGCCCTTAACTGTCAAAGTTTTGTTTTATAGGCAAGCACTAAAAAAGTCGAGCGCGCTGTCCTTCTGACAGCTCTTGTTTGGTATCTTGTCACAGTTTTCAAAAATATACTCATTTTCCATATACATGAACTATCTTTTGCTGCTTTTGTTGTTGGCAATGGTATAATTATAGTGAATGGGTATTTTGTATGGAAGTCAAAATACTAATTTGTTTACAGTTTGCTACCTTTACAACACATTACTGCACATTCAGCGCTACTTGTTTCAGTATTTAAACATGTAACATGCTTCAAATTTCATTATTGAAACATTTTTAAACTCTTAAGAATTGAAAAGTATTGATTTCTGAGGCATTATGTGCTTTTAAACACGTAATTTTCATAGGCAGAAATATGTTTTACAGTGTATAAATCTGTCGTGTAGGATAATTTAAACAGTAAAATGTTAAAATATCATTATGTTGTCAATAAAAGTAATGTTGTCACATAAATATCCCCAATTTTAGACTGTAATATAACATGTTTCCATTAGTTCTCTCTCTATGTGCATGCTATAATGCAATTGGCTTTCCATTTCAAGTGTCTCATTGTTTTGATGAATATTGCGCAATCTGTTATCACTGTTTGATGTTTGCTTTATCTAAGGCTTGATATTCACTTTCCAGCTAATAATGAGTTAAACATGTGTTACATCGTATGATAAAGTTTTAACTCTTATCATGCTAAAATATCATAAATAAATCTTTCAATCTGGACTAATCCATTCTCTGTTTTAAGGGAAAATTCAAATTATTGGCTGACTGTATAGTGAACAGTGCAGATCATGGTCAGACACCATAAATGTGCCACTGGATTCTGGTCTGCACAGGTCCCATGGGTAGATACAGTTGTCACCAGCAAACTAAGAGTAGAAAGAGTCTTAAGCTAGATAAAAACACTTCTATTTGTAAAGTCCTGTAAATTATGTTATCATTATATTGTAGATGTGAATGTTGACAGTCCAGACAAGAAGTCTGTTATGATGTACCTAATGTGCCTATTTAAAGTCCTGCCACATTCCGACATTCCCCTTGACCAGAATGTCGACATCCCAGTGTCACCTGTAACACCTATAACACCTGAGTCAATATCGGCATCAGCTAATGTCGGAATACAAGAATCTAAAACATCAGGGGTATGTAATATTACAGACAAAATGCATGCATCTCTTTATACTCTCTTTATATATATACTCTGTCCTTTTAAATATGTAATAGTTAGAATGGATTTCAATTGGTGTAAATTATGGTTTTTCTAGTGATACTCAAAAGTGAAATCGTGTTAATGATAGTTTTGCCAGTTTCACTAAGTCTTAAACTTGATATGGCAAATTCTTGCAACCAGTGTCTGTTGCTGCAACGCAGTTGTGGTGAAAATTTAGATGTCCATATGCTGAAGTTTTGTTTCTCTATGTGACTTAGCTAACATCAATATTTCTAGAAATGTAGGTTAAGGCACACTAAATGTTGGCTTTATACTGTAGGCACATCAAAGAAAAATGATTCTTTTTTACTTCAAACACTCTTTATTTTGGATATGTGATAAATAGAATATTATATATTCGTGTAGGCTCAATACTGAATTTATTGATCAAGTTAAATAAAATAATATTATGCTTGCCTTAGGTTCGCATATTATAAATTTATTCAACTAATTCAATTAATTCTGTATTGAACCTACACTCATTCAATATCCTTTATGGAACTTTTTAAGTGCGTAGAGGTTTTTTCCCCTCAGACTTTGCAAGAATATGATTCAATGCACCAACTGTTGTGATATTATTTCCTCTTTGATAATAAATTAATATTAATCTTCACATAATCAACATCTTGTCCCAGCATGGTGTTGCAACATGTTGCTGTAATATTTACTGAATATGTAAACATTATATGGTGAGAGATGAATTGTTTGTGGTTATGTTAACAAAATACAATAGAGACCTACCACAGTTTGTAAAGTTTACTTTAACAAATTTATATCATAATAATAAATATACACACCTTTATATAAGCAGGCGTCTTCAATACAATTACAGCTTAACAATCTAAACACATCATCATCATCATTATTATTATCATCATCATCATCATTAAAATTGTGTTGTCATCATCATCATCATCAATTTTTGCATTATTGCTGTTATCCCCACCATCATCATTGTTATCATCATCATCATCATCATCATCATCACCATCATCATCATCATCATCAATAACTACATGGTATCATATAATTAAAACAAATGTTTGCTACATTATTATAGCTGGTATTTTGTCAGGTATCATCATTACTAGACCACAATGATTATTAGACAGTAACATGGCTACCTGTATCATTATTATTGACATTGATAACTTATGATAGTGATCAACTTCTCATCACATCAATTATCATACACTGATAACTAATCCACATTTAATGTTTCATGTTATGCCATGGTATAATACTTGGTTAAATTTGGTTTATATATTGAGGGTGCCTTTTGGGCTGGGGTGGTCACACTTGCCCTTTTCATGCATGTAAGTGAAAATGTATCATATGAGCCGTGTCACAACAAAACCAACATAATGGGATTGCGACCAGCATGGATCCAGACCAGCCTGCGCTTCCGTGCAGTCTGATCAGGATCCATGCTGTTTGCTATCAGTTTCTCTACTTGTAAAGGAGTTGGTAAGCGAACAGCATGGATCCTGATCAGACTGCGCAGATGCGCAGGCTGGTCTGGATCTATGCTGGTCGCAAACCCATTATGTTGGTTTTGTCGTGACACGGCTCAATTATGTTTCTTGTTTATGTGTTTAACTTTGTTTTGACTATGTGCTCAAGTTCCTTAATGTAAGATGTCTTGTGTGCAGAATTAAAAGAACATTATAGTTTAACCAATATATTTATAAAATAATCTAAAATTTACATTAACAGGAATGGTATGATTTCTTAAGGTTTACATTGATAAGATTCAGTGTTGTAACATTTTTCATGGAGAAAATGTCCAAAATATATCTCTAAAATGTAAAAATATAGCACATAGGAAAAGACATTTGCTTCATCAATTTATATCCATTATTTACTCTATTTTTTGTATAATCAGTCATGGAAACTTCTTGAAAAAATTTCTCTATTTTTTTATGGCTTCCAGCAGGTAATATATACCAGATGTTTAGAAAACAAACAAAGTAATAGAGTAAAGGTATTTTGTGTAAATGGTTTGTTAAATGATTGCTCTTTTAACCTATTGGTAGTGCCAGCGGTTATATTAACAGACTATGCCCTCCAGTGAGAGACAGACCAGTCTGCTGTATGACCTGAATCTATAGTGCCGTCTGCTAAATTTGAATATTTTGATATTGGAATCTCCCTGAAATCCCAAATGGACTGTTGCAAATTCAAGGCAAGGCAAGACATTTTCACAAATTTAGTGAAGTATAGGTTAAAACTATACAGGTACATTGATAAAGTACAGAACACCTAGGTTGATGCATTTTTGGCCTGTAATGATGGCTAGTTAATGTGATTCCTGACATAATATACCTCATACTTGGAACTATTTCTTCCTGTTTAAATCAGAGTTCAAGGAAAAGAATTCTGCCAATTCTATAAATCAGTATCTTGGTATAGGAAATGGAGTCTGGTGGTCTGAGTTTTGCATATTATACTTGCCCAGATTACATATTTTATATTATTACCAAGAACAAGCCAAAGTTGGATAAACACATGTATTTAGCTGTGAATTAAATTATCTTAAATATACTAAAAGTATTATATTTTCTTGCCTAAGTGTAATGACATTGCTTATTATTTGTAGTTGATCATGAAATCAAATTTTTGTTTACTGTAGCCTTAAATTAGTTGTTTCTACAAGTTCAGATCATTTGTAAAAAAAAAAAAGCATGAATTTTATTGATCATTATAATTATGTAGTATAATTCCATCTTCCCTTCTATATATCTATTCTTCCTTCTGCTACAAGAAAAACTTTTATTCTAGGAAGTATAAGCTTATTATGTATTTTTTCAATAAAAAGGTCATTCTGTTAGTTGTGGATTTCTTTGATTGATGAAATTGCATGTTTCTCACATGTTATATGATTGTAATTTTTGAATAAAGGAAAGTTGTTCTTGCAGGGCTTGGGATTTTCCAAGGCATTGCCTGGCTTCATAGTCAAAATCTCTGCTTTTCCTCATAGCTGTTGAAGCAATATGAATTCTTCATTTGATAGACTCCCCTTATTCCCACAAAACATCAGACAGTAAAAAGTGCATGTTTTTTCTCATGTTACATTTTCTAAAATCATTGTATAGATTTGAATGTTGAGAATTTAGCAAAGACAGCTTAGGGAATTATTCCAAAGATATAAGTATATCTTGCTCAGTTAATGGACTCCCATTATTCCACTGTTAGAGTAAAGTCTATTGTAGCTTTAACTTATTGATTTATGGAAGGAAATCTCTTGATTGATGAGCTGTAGGCATGTTTTTGCCAATTTTCTTAAATTTTTTATTTACGAGTTTTCATTTGTTATTGATGTTAATAGAAAAAAAATGAGTGAGGAATATCTAGATATGATATCTGTTTGATAAGTAAGGTTAAACCAGCACTTCATCACAGTCATGGTATTTTTTATTATAAAAAAATTACGAACATCTTTAAAGAACCAAAACAGAAGTTAAGTTAGGGTCTTTCAAAGCTCCTTTGGATAATAATGAGGTCATCCTCCACCAGATAAACTGGAAAGTCACCATAATGACCTATACAGTGATGTGCCACATAAAACCCAATAAAAAAAAAAAAAAAAAAAAAAATGGGCAACCTTGAGAAAGCAAAGAAGAAAGTTTTTGTTTGACATTATCTTTAGATACTGACAGGTAAAATACATTATAAGTGTTTACTGCTAGCAACAGCATGTTATTCAGTTGTCTTTTCTTAGAGTTTTGTTAAAATTGTACAGTCTACCTCTATCAATGTAGAAGGAAAGTCAGCACATAAATTTAAAAAAATAAAAGTCATCTATTAATTTAGCTTAAAATTTTACAATTTTTTTATCTAGCTGTTGTCATGTTTTTACTGTTATAATCACATTTAGAAGAAAACATCTTCAAGTTTTCAAAGATTATATGTCAGAAATTTGAACAAATGAGATTGTTTTGCTTCAGTCATGTATACCAGGTGAGCAAATATATGCCAGACTCTTATCATGTTGACACTTTCACTTCTTGAAGAAACCTAAAAAGAAAATTACAAATTTACAAAGAGGTAAAATGAAAAATTTCTCAAAATACTGGAAAAATGCATTTTGTAAAGAAAATCTGTAGAAGTTTATTTTTATTACAGTATATTAAAAATGCTAATTGATTTTCTGTCAATATAACATTATTAGTAGTGTCCATTTATATTACTTTTTGCTATTAAAAAATCAATTATTAACTATTTAATATGTTTACCTATAACAGTTTTCATTCAGCTAAATACCTGTGATAAAGTAACCTGTTTGTTTCTTTGTAAAAAGCAAAATGTATTTTACTTATTACTTCATTTCAATAACTATATCCCTTTTACTTCATATTTTGCCCCTTTTGCCTCAGTGGTTGCTTTTAATAGTTGAGGCATCAGAAATGCAACCACCTTTTATCCCTGTGTGATTGTAATTGGCAACTGAATGGGTTTGAATTACTGGAGTCTATGCATCTCTTAGGTCTAGAGGGTGAGGTAGTTCTGACCCCAGGTGTTGCTCTATAGTTTGTAACATCCCAGGTAGGTCAAATACATCTTAAACTGTTTCAGTGCCCTATGACCTATATTGTGTTGGTGCGCCATAGACCGAACAAAATTTTATTTTTAGCCATTGGTCAGTTGAGATAGCACATAGGAAATCTGAATTCAATATGTGAGACTATCCTCTCCTGTGATATGATAAACTAAGAAAATGGATACATACAAGCGGATGAGTTATGGTAATTGGGTATCAGGATATCTAATTAGCTATAATCTTATTGATCAATTATACATCCACATATCTTCATGCCATATTCTAGTAAACAATCTATATATCAAAATACTTACAGAATGTTTGTTTGTTTTTTTTTTCTGTCCCCGAGTTCTTTGAAACTAAAAAACCCCAAAATTTTTTTAAAGGCATTT